TGTTTACTAAATCAATGCCTCCTTCTATATACTTTTTTCGAATATTTTGTCCGAGAAAAGTTAAAGAAAAATTATAAAACGAAAACAATCTCGATACATTCAACGGACAAAAAAGCAAAAACACAACTTCCGTTTGAAATACGAGACTCTTAGGTGAGGCGGAGCGTGAGCGTAAGAGAAACTATCGTAAAACTCGTAACATCCGCTAACCTACGTTTCTTGGTCGGGTGGGTTACGTTTGAATGATTTTGCGTTCACTTTGTTAAGGCCCGTCCACATACAACTTTGGCCTTGCATTGGCGCTGGCGTCGCTTTGACAGCAGCGCGAGTAACGCCCGTGCTTGCTACAATGAACGCTTAGCAGAGAATACTTTGGTCACTAAATTTACATACCAGCGGCATATAAATCAAAATTTTATATCAATAATTGCATTAAAAAACTATATTTCTTGTCCGCATTTGATTAAAAAGGAAAATTAAATCAGGTAATTTTGATTATTTGGAACAACTAACGAACGACGCGCGTGAAAAGTTGCGAGTTGGCCATCTTTCTGCGTTGTGTTGGCATGGGCGTTTCCCAACTTTGGTTATGTAGAGACTTTAATATAAGTGCATGTATTCATAGTCAGCTGTCGAAGCGACGCCAACGCTAACGCAACGCCAAAGTTGTATGTAAACGGGCCTTTACGCTCTCGCATGTATACGCATGTTATAGCTGAAATACAATGCCGGCGAACGGCGAACTCACCACAGCGAAATTCGCGCTGTCAAAATTAGAACACCCGCAAGCATATGAAATTGAACACAGCCAAAGCGAAATGCGAAGTTCGCTTGGCGGCGTTTCATGGCGATAGATTTATTTCTATCGCTCTGCTGGGCGATGACAGCTGTGCGTGCCAAAGGTGGCCGTATTTGTTTTTTGCTTTCAAAGTTTTAAAAGAAAACAACCTAAACACGATTTTTTTTTGTTGTTTGAAAAATATAGTTGTGGATTCGTTAAATCTGGCTTGAAACAAATTATTTATAATAATCTTTCTTTGTTTTACATTTATATTTGTTATCATTTCCTCATTTCTAAATATGGTTTAGTTTTTTCTAAATATGGTCACCCAAATTATAAAGGCGACCAAATGGGATCAGCTGTTTTCGCTACCGCTCTAATTCTGTTTAAGTAGGCGAAATAGCTGGGCGAACGGTGAACGACAGCATCGCCCAATTCGGCGAAGTTTGCCGTTCGCCGGTATTGTATTTCAAGCATAATGCTTACGCTTTTTAAGCAGGCGCTCACTCTCTGTCCATGCTCGTATATGAGCAAATTTGACATCGCTATAACTGTTGCCAACTTTGTGCCTTTCGCAATAAATTAAGTGCGTTTAGGGAATTAAAACGCGAACATTTTTTAGTTTAGCGCTTGTTTCGTTCTAATAAAAACGTGACTCTATGGTGACATTGTATTTATTTTGTTCATTCATTTATTCATTCCAAAACGTACGGAAAACTTTATCCGTTGACCTACACATATGTTAGTGTTTGGCCGAGCTTCTCCTCTGGATAATATGCTCCCAGATAAACCAAACGCAATATTTTCACACAGTCTCTATCACGGAATTCATAGAATATTCTGCTAATTAGCTGGGTGTGGGCATTTGTACAAAAGTAAGCAATTGCATGAAAATAAAGCCTCTAGAGAAACCAAGTTAAGTTTTGCCAATTGTGTTACGAATAAAAAACAACATTTTGCAAATTAAATTAATTAACTGCACATAGTTGGAAATATTTACAAGTGACATTGCGTGATTACTTAAAATATTTTAACATACAGCTTTATATGCAAAAATACCATTAAACACAGCAACACAAATTTGGTGTTTTTTTGGGAAATTTGTGCTATTTTCAGTGTTTTGGTGCCTTTTTAAATAAAAAACTTGGCAATACTGATCACTAGCTGACCTTCATCGAGCGCTCTTTGCTGGGTTCAGACTGCAAAAATGGAAGTAGAAATCAAGTTTTCGTAGTAGATGTGCATTTCTTATCTTAAAAAAACAACAATTCATTTCTCCTCGTATCACTGTATTCTGGGGCTGAATAAGGGGCTAAAGCTGCCTTTACAAGGGTCGATTTCTGTAGACTGGAAAATTTTATGGTTGAGATGTCATTTACACGGGCCGATTTTGGTTGAACGACGCCCTAATCTAGCGAGAAATTATCATTTAAGTTAAAATGCCTTGGTTAAAATTAATAAAAAGTTATTTCATTCTTTCTTTACCGGGACAATTGTTACATCGGTGGGCAACGACGCAATAACAGAACTTTAGACAGAGCAATATTTTTCGATCGGGTTCAAATCGGGCGATTGTGAGGGCCTATTCACGAATTCAAGTGTATTTGCAAAGGTGCTGTAGCTCACCAATGTAACAATCGTGTCGATAAAAAGGTAAAGTATAACTTTTAGTTTGCTATTAAAAACCCCACCTCCTTTCTATTTGAAGAGTAAATTTGTTGATGCAACCAAACGGAGCAGATTTTCAGTTGAGCGGAGTAGAGGACTAGGTTTCAAATTATTTCGACAAAATGGAACAAATCTACTCCTATCGGAGCAAGTCCGAACGATGGCTTATAGTGTATATGAGGAAAATTTACGCTCTTTGTTTGGTGCACAAAATCAGTACTACCGCAGCCGTTAGAGCTGGAAAACTATCGCTACTCGTGGCCATCGATACTATCGAAAATGTCGACACTATCGATAGTACTATCGATAGTTTTGATTGAAAAAGTCCAAAAATTTAACATAGCAACTTTTATTGTAAATGAGATCAGAATTGTTAAAATAAGTCCATATTTTTGTTAAGGAACAAAAGTTTATCAACGGTTTTGGCTTCAAGGAGCATCTCCGCTCTGAAATTATTTGCCATGCTTTACTAAATGTCCCTTCCGACTGACAAGATGAAACAGGTACCGGCGTCTTTTACTTTTATTGAAAATAATGTATGTATGAGTGAAAACCATCGATAGTGCTTACAAAACCCATCGATACTATCGATAGTGCCATCGATAGTTTTCCAGCTCTAGCAGCCGTACTGCGATGAACATGATGTCGGTGGAGATATAAATAATTTGTTCGCCACTTTTCATACCCTGCCTCCCGTAAACTGTTTTCCCCTTTCTCTAGCCCGCGCTCGCACTTTCGCTGCTGCGCGGGCAAAAAAGTGCCCACGTCTGGAGTACGGGATCGATTTCCAGTAAAATCTGACTGATTCTGACTATTCCGGACTCGTACGGGATCGCAACTAATGACATTGTTATACATATATACGTTCGTATAAAATTGAATTCAAAATATAACAATGAAATTTAGTTAAGCTAAACTTAACAGCAAAAGTCTGCGTACACCATTTCTTTTTTATATATTCACAATATATTGAGAGTTAAAATTTGTTTGTTATTATTTTATAAAGAAAATGATCATGCTTAAAACAATATCATGTAAACCGTGTTTTAAAACTTTATACAAAACAAAGGTAAATTTAACGGGTTTTCATCTAAATTTTTTACTTTTTAATCAGATTTAAAAAAATAACCGAAAGTGGTAAACAATCTCACTTTGAAATGAGGGTGCTATTGATATGACTGATACTGCACATACCTACATAAATATATCACTGAGCACCTGCAATGAGTAGTTATGCAGTGATTTTTGTTTAATTCCAATGTTTTTCATTTAAATATTTTTCGTAAAGGTTTATTTAAGTACTATGTCCCATATTCCATAAACCAATTGAACTCAAATTCCTAACTGTGATGCAAACATGATAGACCTCTATAAAATGTCTTCAAATTCCAAACTTTTTGAAAGAGTTATAAACTTTTTAAAAAGCGTTATAAAAAATCTGCGCGATTAATTATACTAAATTTTAATGGGCTATAGAACTGCATACTTATAAACTCTGATTTAAAATATTGAAGTTTTTATAACAGTTTCTAGAAAATTCTACAAAATTTCCTACACTGTTAGAAACGTGAATTAATTCGTTTAATTTAATTTAATTTAATTTAATTGTTTACGTTTTAATACTGATGAGCCATCCTTAAAAAAAAAATTTAAGAAAAATATTTTGCATGAAAACCTTTGTGAATATATAAAATTCTATTTACTCTTAATTCGATGCCGGGAGTCTTTGTATTACCTTTCAATACATTTAATACAATTTAACGCTGAGCATTCAATATATCACCGCTTTTCTAATTTTTCACACGATTTTTAATTATAAGTAACACGGAAATCCACGTTATGCGTAACAAATATAAGTTATTTTTAAGAATAACGGTTTTAGAAAATGAAGGAATAATTGACACTTTATGTTCCTAATTTTAAAGCACAAATTGCCTCAAAAAGTAAATTAGTGCAAACCAAATAGCTATTTAAACCTAAAATGAAGTATTTTTTATTTACAAAATTGTATGCGTGCTTATTCAAAGAAAATGCTCTATACTATACTTCTTAGAACCAGCTGAAAACTAACCACATTTTTTCTAGCTCGGAGGTGACCTTTTTGAACTATCTAGGAACTGTTTTTATATGAACTGTCTCAGAACCATCTAACCTGGGTCAGCTCAGAACAAGTTCAAAAGTTCTGCAGAGGGCGACAATTGTCACTTCGTAGGACATCGTCATGTTAAAAAAGACAGTTGAAAGCATTGATTTGCGATAGATGAAGAACCAGTACCGTCCCTTTTCAGGCTAGCTCAGCGTAAGTTGATTTGCTCCAGTTACTTGATACTGTTACTTGATATCGTAGTCGTTTTTTTTCAAATTTATGGCTTTCTATTATAAAAGCACATAACGCTGTTTGCATGTGGACTACTCATACATATGTGAAAATTGCAGATAGAGGGTATTAAATAAAAGCCCTCGATATTTTCATATATTAGTATACGGCACAGATATTATTTAACATAAAAATTATATGATTAAAAATAAACTCAATTTGCAGTGTACATACCTCATAGTACGCTAAGTATCCCTTCTCACGGGTAGCATCACCCTGTTCACCCGGCCCCTCCGATGGCGCTCCAATATCTGTGCTCTCTTCATTGATGAGCGTGTATGAACGTCCATAGGTGGGTATTCCCAACACCAATTTGTCGCGGTCAGCGCCAGCTTTCAAATAAAATTTTATGGAATAGTCCTAGCAAAAGCAAAATGACAGGGAAAAAATTCAATTACACAAATCAAAATTTCAATTACAACATCCTTCATATTTCCTCCATTCTCATAACTTACAATATTCAACTCGGCATCATAATTGTATTCGGACTCTTCCTCCAGCGAATACAATGGAGCATGATGATTAGCCGATGGTTCGTGCGATGAATGAAAATCATATGTGAGCACGTTGAACCAGTCGAGGTATTTGTTTAGTTTTGGTATATCGTAACCCTTTTCGATGTTCTCGATGCCCGCTGGCACGGCCATTGTCAACAACAGACGTGGACGTCCGGTCTTCTCCGACTCACGCTCGAACTCGGCGCGCAACTCTTGCACAAACTGGGCATAATTATCGCGGTCGCGCTGCTTGCCACCCTCACGCTGCGCCGGATACTCCCAATCTAGATCGATGCCGTCAAAATGATTCTGGCGCAGGAATTTTAAAATGTTCTTAATGAATTGTTGACGTCTCTCTGGGTTCGCCATAAGCGGGGAGAAGCGTGAGGAGGCCTCATTCCAGCCACCAATGGCAATCATTGTTTTCAATTGCTTGTTGTACGATTTAAGTCCGGTAAACTTGGCATAGCCGCCTATGCAGTGGTGGCACAAAAGGGATGGTATTAAGTGAAGAGTAGCAGGATGTCATAGAAATATGATAAAGGATGGAAGGTTAATTGCTTTCAATTGGAATGTGTTTATGGGAAATTGTTACTATGCAAACGTAGGAAAGGAAACACACATACATATGAGTGTATTTCCAAACTTCCCTGACGGAAGAAAGTGGTCTTTTAAACCAACTACATAATTGAAAGACTACTTTGAAACAAATGCAGTGAGGAAATCTTTCGAATTTTGATACTCTTTTTACTCAAAGAAAGAATTTTTGTCTTGGAAGTATGAAAACGCATCTGTGAAGTGCAGAACGAAAGCGTATTGAAAAGAAAAATTCTGAAGTTGAAGTTCCGCAAGCAAATGTATTTTAAAGTAGTTGAAATCAAATGCAGAATCGGACAATCGACTTGCTGCTTGCACACAATTCAAACTGAACAAGGCAACATGTGAAAATGGTAATTCAATATTTTGTTTGCGTCTTGGAAATATGAAAAACCATCTGTGAAGTGCAGAGCGAAAGCGTATTCAAGTAGTTTAAAGTAGTTGAAATCAAATTTCAATTATTTGGTTATTATTGGAAATAAAGTAGTTTATAAATTACTTTCAAATTAATTGGATTTCCTGAATGGTTAAGTATGTGCTATATGTACATATCGAGCCCTAACCGCCAAAATAACGTAAGCGCAATTGTTTTCAAAATTTTCTTTTTGATGCAGAAATACATCTAGATGCCCTAGGAATATTTCTGCATCAAAAATACAATTTTGAAAAAAATGTCGCTAACGTTATTTTGGCGGTTAGGGCTCGATATGCACAGTTAAATAATTTTAAACAAAACATTCGACCCGTTGCTCTAAACAACTTGTTCACTTCTTGAACACATGAAGTTAACAAACATATTTTTTAATTAACTAAAATCTATAAAACACAATTTTTTATTGACTCACCCTGTTCAATGTCTTGGTACTTGTCGAACGGCTTCATCTGATTGTCCTTTGTAAATCCACCAAAAGCGTACACCAAATGTGTACACAAGTATGGATTGATGTTCTGTGGATTGAATTTCGCTGTGCCTGGTCTGTAGACACTCCAATTTGTGTAGTAGCAAACAACTCTGCCTTCCGAGCGGACTTCTGCAAAACAATAGTATTGAGAAACAAAGTTAGCGTGAAGATTGATAGATGTGAATGAAAATTGCATGGAATCGCAACTGAAGAGCTCCATAGCAAAACACGATAATTCCAACAAGTTTGTTATATTTAGTTCCTGAAACCTCAGTTTTTTTAAATCAAAAAAATTTTATATTCGTAACTGACGCACTTATCTATTAACTGTTTGACTATGTTTCATCCGATTTTAAAAATCAGCATTGTTTTGAAAAGGGAATTTAAAGAACTTTAACAATATATTGTTAGACTTAGCCTTTCTTTATAATATTTTCAATCTTGACCATGGCTAATTTGAAAAATTAAAGTTGCAAAATATGTAGTACCTATCTAAAAGTGAACTTACTTTTGAATAAATTTATACCTCACCTAATGCAATCGCAAAAAATTGTCAAAGTTAAGCGGAAATGCGCGCTTTACTTTATATTTATATATATGTATATAATATAATATTTCATATTTTTTTAGCAGTGTGGCTAAGGAATTCATCAGTACTAGTAACAACCCGCCGAAATTCGGGTTAATGCATTCACCCGAAATATACTTGCAGATATTATCTATGTCAGTATTTAAACTTGAGTAAAAATAAAAAGTGATATTCATGAATATACTTCAGTATTCAGCTCAAAATTTATTGAAAGAACTTCGTGAAAGACAATGGGCCGTATGAATAAAAACTGAGCAATTGCTTTTTCTTAAAATTTCATACCTGTTACTTCACTTTTGTTTGAATAAATCGAGTAAAAGGTCTGAAATATTATGAAAAAGCAATTGCTTATTTTTATTCATACGGCCCAATAATTAATCTTGTATTGCTAGAGACCTGATAACCCAAGATAATTTTTAAGTCATTAAAGGGCCTTACTCTACTCATAGCTTCCTACAGTGGGCCGTGAGAAAACAGTAATTTTTAAGGTACAGTCCAACCTTTCACAATATCCGTCCAAGGCCGTAGTCTGAAACGCCATAATCACTTAAAATTGGCGCCGTTGCATGGTGAAAGGCATTTAGTATCACGCTTTTAAACTAAAGCTTTCTTACGTCTTTCAAAAAATGCAACCAATGATTCTAAAAATTTTAAAATACATAAATATGTATACCAGTTAATTTGGATCGTTCATTTCAAAAATCACATCAAACAGTTTTTAAAGTTTTGAGTTTTACCGTCATCCCGGGTCCTTTAAATTTGTCAGTGATATCCTAGGTGTTTAAAAAAGAAAGTGCTCTCAGCTATTTTTATCTTTAGCTTTCGCGAAATATATTTCAAAACTATGAATAACAACAAATCCGAATCACAATTCCACGAAAAATTGGGTAATATTTTTCAATAGATTACACTGTTCACTATCGACTTTTCTGCCACGTTTTACTTTTGTGCAACTGCAGCTTGCACTTTAATTTGATATATAACTCGGTTATGCAGCTACTCCAGATCGCCATAAATAAGTCGTATGACGGAGCAATTATGAATAGATTTACTTTACATAAATCGATTTAGCGAAAAATTCGTTTTTCATAAAATTTTAGGAAAACGGGCGTGGCTCCGCTCACTTATATCATATACATATGTGTACCTCAAAAACTACCAAATTTGGTATACTAATTGAGCTTAGCCTCCTTTAGAAAATTGTTGAAACTGCTCAGTAAATGATGTATGTATATATATGTATATGTGAGCACAACTGAGAAAATGGTGATATCGACTAAAATTATCTTTCCGAGAAAAATGCGTTTAAAGTTCTCCATCAACCTTTAGATAAGTCTAAAAGTTTAAGCAAAAGTAGTCAGGGTAGGGATGCAAAAAAAAACATCGATGCATCGGAAACATCGATGTTTGCTATTCGATGTATCGAATAAAAGCGATAGATTAGACCTTCCGATATACATCAATATATCGATGTATTTTTTTCGATGCATCGACTTTTGTGTGCAATGTACACTGTACCAAGGCGAATTTATACAAGGTTGTGTTAACAGAACAAAAACAAAAATTACAATAACAAATTATACGCACATTGACAATCAGTACAAAACAAAATTGCAGCGAACACATCATTTAGACAAAAGGTACAAAGTCGTCGTGAAATCATCGGATCCGATAAACCACCTTGTATAGATTCGCCTTGCACTGTTCATACCAAAATTATTTTGTATGCTTTCAAACTCTTCGCTCCAGTAACTATTCTAAATGTGGATTTTTTCACTATTTATGCACTATTAGAATATACATTCTATTAATATTATCCAAAATGTTATTGCATTAATAAATTGCTACTTTATTAGTAGAAAGATTTGGTGCCAAATACCATCTACAATATGATATTAATTTATATGATATTGACACTCTAAACCATTTGGAAATTTGGACAGATTTTAAAGTGCATATTCCAAAATTGTTTCATATAGCTTATCAACATAGAAAAATAATATGAAGTGTGCAAGCCAGTTTAATGTACGCTTATTTTAAAGCAAAATTTGAGTTAAATTATGATAATAATAAGTGACCGAAATATAAAGTCATTGCAAGCTGGCACACTTTTAATTATTTTATTATGCTTATAAATATTTAACAATTGTCGCCACTTCCATACCTTCCGAAAATTTCGAAGTCTTCTCAAAAGAACAGAAAAAACTGGGATTTGTAACTGTTTAAATCAATTAATACATTTCACTGTGAGTTATTACTTAAACACTGATCGAGTTACGATTGTTTCATTTTCTTGTTGTATATTTTTAATTGAAAGAAACTGTTGATATTTTCATTCGATGCACCGAAAATATCGATGTTTTTATACGAGACATTGATATGTATCGATGCTATATTTCGATGCATCAAATCGAAGAAAACATCGATGTATTTTTTTGACTTGCATCCCTAACTCAGGGCCATTTTCCTCTTCAAATCACATACATATATTTCAGTAAAAAGTGTCCCAAGTAAAATAATTTTTTTTAAACAACTGCAGTTTTGTTTTTCGTTTATGGCTAATCGCCTGGCATTTTTAAGACCTTAAACTATAAGTAGGGATGACGCGATACCATGCAGGTATCGATAATTTTACTTGGGAGTAATATCGACTCCTGAAAAATATCGGTACTAAAGTATCGATACCTACTTGTATCGTTACTTGTGGCTATGAAGGCGTTCCGTATGAACAGAGTTAAATTTCATTTTCTTAAGTAATAAATTAGTCATCCTCTGGGAACTCTAAACTTCTGATAATAAAAGTGAATAATATACGAACTCAAAATAAATAAAACATCGTTACATAGCAAAACGATATATTTAATGATGAATGGTATATAACACAGGTAAAGCATTGAAAAAATTTATTCGTAGCACATTTTAGCGAAAAAGGTCTTCTTTTGTTGTTTTTGCCAAGAATAGTTTTCTCAACTAAATTATTGTTGCCCCTGCTTTCGAACTAATAATACACTCAGAAAAAGGGTTAGTTATAATTACCAAGATTTGGTTATAGTGACCAAGTGGCATAGTTGGATATGGCGAAATAAATATCTAGTTCACGAAAGTCTGCAATTTATTTGAGACTTCTAGTCGGGACAAATGTATATTTGTTAATAATTACAAAACGACTACCTTGAGTGGACAATATTGTTAGCTGAACAAAATCATTGTTGAGCAAATATAAACATTGCTATGGTTGATACAAGTTTTCAATTAATTTTGTGAACTTGCTGTAGACTTGAATCAGCTAACCGTTTATAATTGGAAAAAAGTTTCAGTTTGACACAAATAAAAATTTACTCGATGGTTGTTGTGTTTACTTTCTTCTTTTATTTGCATATATTAAGCATAAAAACTACATACATATTTACATAAATAGCTACTAGTGTAAATAATACATATGTATATGATGAAACAGGAACAGTCGTGCGAAAACCCAGGTCAATATCTGCTGGAAGTGCTGGTTTAAGTATGCTGCTTTGCTTTTTCCTAGGCTAAATAGATACTTTCAAATCATAATTCACATGAATTATATATTCACTGAGAAACCCCGGTTGCCATCAAACTTTATATTTTTAAATAACTATGCGCACACCGAAACAACTCGCGGCGATGGAAACACTGAAACTGAGACAAACAAGTCTGGGCATGTCATAGCACACACTTTTCTTTCTCTACCTATCGCAGTGATCGACATGCCATAGCTTACTGTGCGCTCTGTGGCCACACGCGTGTTTCACCCATATCCGAACAGCGGTAGCGGAGCAATGATTTCCACGTACACAGTCTCATTCATTGAATCGTTTTTATGCAATGCTCGGCATACTAGCGCATTCAAACGATTCAATATGTGGGACTGTGTGCCAGTGTTGCCAGTAACTGGGTTAATAAAATGCCGTCCAAATATAATCTAAATCCCATTTTATACTAAAGTTATAACAGAAATCCCGCTCTGTATGTATCTATTATTCATAAAATGCTTTCGGATGAAAAACCACAATCATGTATATAGTAGATATGCAATATACATAGCACGTCAAAACGCATGCCGCTTTGCCCAAAAGTGGTGGAGAGTCATCGTTATTTTTAAGATGTAAAAAGTGAGATATTTTTACGTAGAATCGAAGGTTATCTGGCGCTTATAAAAAAAAATAGCAATTCGGTACTAAGTCACCATTTTCCGACCAGTCTCAAATTTTCCTATTAATCGTTTATGAAAATCTATATAAGCGACAAAAATCGTAATATGTATATGTTTTTGGGGTCACTGAACCCGAATCCGGGTCAGTTTGGTCTCACGAGGTCAGTATCGAGGTCATTTGGAGGTCAACTAAACGAACTATTGAAACCTCGAAAGTGAATCCAATCCTACTGATTAAAATTTTCTATGAAATATTATCGAAGTGATTTTGGAAAAATCTTTAGAAAAATCATGACATTCGAAATTGTATATTGATTTCTATAAAGGGTACCTAGTTTTACTCCTGAGTAAAACATTATT